TCTTCACTATTACCCATACTAGTCTAGTAAGGTACCTTGATCTTAAACTATTATAGGATACAAATGGAAAAGGTTTAATATGAATAAGAGTATTTTAGATGTATTCATCTCACAAGAGTGTAAGTACTTTACTCCCTCCTAAAAAGGTTGGAGCTCACGTATAAACCTCATGCATGTAAATGAATACGTAATTGTGTGTGCCAAAGAACAAACAAGCATTTGATACTCTTTACCAAGATTCCAATATCTTAAATGTCTCTCAATTTATTAGACAACATAGAAAATGCCTTAATTAACATAAGTAATGAATGATATAAATAAACATGAATGTAGGCAACATTATTCTTTTTTTTTTGTTTTTTGCAAAATTTTTCATTTTTCAAAATTTTTGTTTTTGAAAAATAGAAATAAGGGAATTACTATTAAATATCAATTAAAACCATTAAATCGAAACTTAAGATAGCACATAATTTATTTTTGGCTCGACTTTAAAAAAATATCTCTAGTGAAATGGTCAAGTTGTCACACTATGCAGGTTTAGGAATCTGACCACCTCGTTAAAATTATAAAATTAAAACAATGAGTTGTCACAAATCTTTATTTGAGTAGATATAATTGGTTACTTAAAAAATTATTTTTTTAATAAAAATTTTAAAATTAATTAAAACTTATTAAAAATATAATTTTTTTGTATGCGAAAACACATCTGAGTTAAAAAATATGGTTATACATAGGGAAGTATTAACACTCCACAGTACCGGTTACAAAATAGTCTTAATTAATAACATATATTCCTTTAATATTGATAAAAAATGGCCTAAATTTTAAAATTTAAAAAAGAATGCCTTAAATCCCATTTATTATCATAAAACCCTTTTTTTTGCCATCCTTTTTAGAATCATTTTATTTAAAAATAAAATAAAAATTTTGTGTTCCGAATTTCTCAATATCTAGATAAAATTTAGAAAAATATTTTTGACTTAAGTATTTTCATGATAATCCTTAAAACCAAAGATAATATTTTTTTCATAAGAAATAATTATTAAGAATCCCTCTAATATTTAGGTAGAGTCTTAAGAAATATTTTACTTAGGATATTATCTTATTTTGTTTTTAAAAAATAATTTCTTTTATAGTCATCTTTGACTACATTATATATTTTTTAAGAATAGTAAAATGTATGTGATGTAACATGAAGCAAATTAATGATGCAAATATAAACTAAAAGATAAAAATGACCAATTTAATTCATATTATAAATCGTTAATTTTATCACTTTATATTTTTTCATTGTTGTTTTTTTTTTAAATATTTAGTGATAAAATAAAAATATTTTTGTGTTTTTAGAAGTAACATTTGTGCATTATCAATAGTATAATATTTATAAATATGATAATATTAAATTTTTAAGTTCAATTCTCATCATATGTGAATTTAATTTAATTTTATATTAAATTTATTTAATTATGTGTTGATTTATTTATTTGATTTAATTCAATGATTTTCTTATATAACATTTTCTTATACTATTAAGTTCATAAAAAAAATTAATAACTAAAGAATTTCCTAAAATTTTCATTGGCATAGCAATTTTTTTTTTTGGAACTCTTGAAGGCTTGGCAACAAGACTAGGTTTTTTGCTTTATAATAATCGGAAAATGTCATATATAATCCTAACTAGAAATAAGGAGAATGACTTTCTGGTTTTAATTTGAAATTCAAAACTAACAATTAAAAATTCCCCCTCCCCATGACCCGAATACCATAATTACTTATTATGATTAGACTTTGACAATTTAAAATATGACATAGTTATATAATGTGAATACGATATAAAAATAAAATACGAAAGTGATAAAATTTAAAATTATAATAACAACTATATATAAGTTTAATAAAATAAAAAATATATTTTATATTTTTATATCGATACGAAATATGACATAATTTTTGTGTAAAACACAAACGAATACATGAATTTCATTATATTACACGATATGAATATATGAATCGTCAGGTTTACTTATGATAAATATGGTTAATCAAATTCTTTTTAATTATATTAAGAAAAAATGAAAAAAAAAGTATGTAAACATTAAGCAGCTAGCTATAAATTATTAGCTTAAAACACGAATGGTTTATATTTTGAATTTTTTATCTATGGAAATTTATTTTTTAAAAAATAAATAATAAATCAATCAATCAATCTAGTGATTAAATAATTCAAATTTTAAAACTAGAGAAAATATTCACATGTATGCAAATGCATTTTCATTAATTAATTTCATTTCACATTGTTCAAAAAGAATGATATTCGATATATAGCTAGATCAAGACACGAGAATATGAATGAAATATGGACAATCTTCAATTAATTAACAAATCAGTGAAAATATATTTATATTGCCGAAATCAATAAAAACTAAAAGAAAATATAATAAAAAAGGCCAAAACCTTTTGTCCCTTTTCATAATAATGCTCCTTCCAACAATGTTTTATACCTTGGCCTTTGAGGAAAGTGATGGCCTTGGAGTAGCATGCTGTCTTCTTCCAAATTAACCACCCAAAAATTCCCACTAATTAGACGAATAATAAAAAATTATAAAGATCTCAATGGAATTTAAAAAATTATATGATGTAAAAGTTGAATTACATAATAATATTTTAGCTATTTACATGTTTTGATTTGGTTTATATTTTTATTTTTCCTTTTTAAAAGTCATGAATTCATCATCATTATTGCATGGTATCTTTTGGTATTATTGTTGGGGCTGCTTCTACAAATTTTACCACAACAAATAATCTCCACAAAGTATATTGTATGTAAGTTTGTGGGATAATTAACTTCCAATTCAATTTGGCTCCGTATGGGTCTTGATATTTTTTGAACACTTTACTGTTCATATGTATAGGATACTTTGATTTTCAAAATTAATATAAAAAATTGTCAAAACAAAATTTATTCATGTTTGATGTCTTATCGCACGAGTTCATATAACATAGTGTATAAATAACATATTATTGAATTAATTATTAAATCACCACAATAAAAACAAGCATGGAGAACCATCTATGACATGCAAGTAGACATAAATACATACTGCTCATCCATACAAGCTGCTATAAGGAACTAATAAAGAACCAGCAAACCAAATTGAACACAAAAAACCATCTTTCTTTAGAGTACATGAATTTTGCCAACAATGTCTTGGCCAAGCGATGAGAAGAGGATTTATGAGACATGTAAGCTTGAGTTCGAGTCCAAAGAAAAAAATACATGAAATTTGTCTTACATGAATGGCTAAACATGACTTTATTCACAATATCAAACATGCAAATGCTATGAAATTGTAGAGTAAACTAGTTCTTCACTGCAAAGTAAAACTGAAAAAATAGAGATCCAACCAGTCGACGACGCCATAAAACAGAAAGCTCAAACGATGATAAGCATAATCAAGTATCAACCACCTATCATTGAGGCAAAGAATGAATAAGAATTTAAACAAGAAACTTGATTAAGGAAATCATAACTACATGGACAGAGGCAGATTCAAGATTTTTGTTGGGAAGTGTTCACTTATAATATATAAAATACTGACGATAGATTTATCAATATTATCCATGAAAATAGTGTTTAAAAGAAAATTTTGAATGTTTATGGAAAATTTTCTTTTAAAATTTCTTATTTTCTAATTTTTAGGAGTGTCCAAAAAATGATTTTGAGGGTATGCAACACAAAATTTTTCTTTAAATTTTTTTGATTTTCAATGTACACCCCACAATGCCATGTAAATCCACCACTAGACATGGAAAAAAGCCATATTTACCTGTTTAGCTAACAAGTTTCTCCTGAAATTTTCACTTCCTTTGGTAACATTATCCTTGTTTCTCCCAAAGTCATATATAGAGGTATTTGATCTTTCCGATGGCTATGAACAAATTAATAATTATATATGCATTATTGTTCAATCAAATATATATATATATATAAAAAAGAAATTATTATTATTTGATGTTTTATTTTTGGCTTGGGTTTATAAGATTTAATAGTTTATGAATATTCTATTAATATAAATGTCTTTTACAATTTAATAAAATGATTTTTTTTATATCCATATTAACATTATCACAAAAAATTATTAATTTTGACTATTAAAAGACTGACCCTTGCTTTTTTTATCAAAAAATAAATAATTAGTAACAAAATTTTTGGTGTTTAGCAAATAAATAAAAAAATTAATTTTTTGATAAAAAAGAAAGGATTTTTGAAATTTGGTAAAAAATTAAACTTAAAACAACAATATGTGAATGCTATCATTTAATCGTATCTTAAAATTTATAAATGTATGATTATATATAGTTGATTAATAAAAGTTTAAATATTCTTTTATTAAGGAAATATAAAAAATTAAAGTTAATTAAAAAATAAATTTAAATTATGAAAATAATAACACGGTTAAAAAAGCTAGTATATATGTAAAACAAATACCATTCTCAAGATTTTATTATAATGTACAAATTAAATATGTTTAATTGATTTTCAAATTCTATTTATTTATTAAGCAATTGAAATGTTATCTAAATGTTCTCTACAAGTGCCATGTCATCAAAGTTTGCCTATATGTATGCATGCCAGCAGTTTGAATTCCCATCCAAATTGGATTTCATTAAATTAAAATAGTAGGATGGCTAAATTACACACAATAATATTGTAAGGGCTTAAGTGAAATTTTGATTACAATATGGTTAGAGAGCTTATTTTATTATTTTACCATTACTTAACAAGGTTTTTTTTTTTTTTTAAATAACAAACAAGTTTAACTCAGACTTGAATGAGTTGAACATAAAATATTGTTAAAGATGAGAGTTCAACATAAGTCTTGAATGCTTTATTTTAATTTTTCTAATATAAAACTTACATAAGAACCCATTTTTGAAAAGAGATTCAAAACATTGATTATTTTATGAGTATAGAAAAGATTTGGGCCAAAGGTAAAATCTCAAAGCATAATGTAAGGAAAGGAGTACAAAATTACCTTTAGTTGAAGCCCTTTGTGGACTGCTTGTTGAATAATGAACTTTGCAAATCGAGGACAAACCACTATGGTTAACTTCTCCAATGATGGTGGCAGAATGGCATTATCAACTCCATTATTTTCTTTTGCCACATTGAAGACATATTGTAGTCTTGGACAACCATGTATTTCAAGAGATGTCAATTTTGGCAAGGGCGGAGGATGGAGAAGGCCACTGTCTGATTCTATATTATCATCAATTTCCAACTCTGTGGCAATGTGTTCCAGTTCATCGCAGTATTCTATCTTGAGTTGTTCTAGCATCACCAAGCTTTGAACAAGTGATGGTGAGAAGAGATATTTCAATTTATTGCAGCGACTAATTACTGCAACCTTGAGGCTTTGGAAGCAGACATGATGGGTTGGCCCTTTCCATATCCACTTCAGTTCTGGTAATGACTTTAGCTTCAAACTTGTTAAATTTGGCAGCAGTGGAACGGTTGAGACATGGCCTTGATCTGCTGTATCAATCAAGCATTCCAGCTCTTTATCATCTCTAAGTGTAAGAAAAGTTAATTCATTTAGTCCCTGTGGATCTACGCTTGGAATGAGATTTTTGTGATACATGATTCCATCCATGGCAAGTATTCTGACATCCTGATAAATTCACAATATAATGAAAAGTAGCAGCAACATTAGAAACATATAATTAGATTTCTTTTATTAGGAAAGAGAAAGATTTGAGTTAAAAGAATATTTTTATTCCTCGCTTTTCACTAAAAGTTTGTTACTGTAGAAATTTAAATAATTCAAACTAAGCTGAATATAACTAATGCTTAGAAAGCATGGATAGTGACAAATAATTAAAGTATGATACGACATGGATATGACAATTAAACAATTTTTAAAATGGAAAACACGGGTATTGTAAAACATGATAATAAAATAAATTTTTATATATTTTTTATACATAAATTTTTTATACGAATATAAATTGAACACAACTATAAAATAATTAATGGTATGTGTAAAAGTAAAATAAAATAAATTTATAAACAAGATTAAAATTATATAGGAAAAAATAATCAATATAATTATAATTTTTTTAATTTAATTTTTAATACTAATAAATTATAAAATTTTAAACTTTTTAAATAGTTTCATTTTTCCTTTTTTTCTTTTCTTTTCTTTTTTTTTTCCTTCTTTTTCTTTTTCTTCCTACATTTTCTTCTCTCTCTTTTTCATCCCGTTTCTTCTTTGTTTTTCTTTCATTTTCCCCTTTTTCCCTTCCCCAAATCATACGATTTATAATCTTTATAAATTCAATAATAGTAATTATTGAATAATATTTTTATTATGTACAGAATTAAAAAGAGAAAAAAATACAAAGATTTTATAAAGTGTGTTAATAGAGAGAAAAAAATATGTAGTGCTAGTTTTTCTCAACCTGCAAACCATGTAATAAGTATACATTTAATCAACCTTTTTTCTTTTAAACATCAACAGAAGCTAATTATATATAATACTATATAATACTTTTACATTTAAATGTGAATGTACTGAATTTTGATGTTTGTGTTATAAGATAAATAATTCAATTAATTATTACCAAAATAAACAAAATTAAAACAAAATTATAGTATAAGAGAAGTACCTTTAAATTGGCCTGCAACGTCTTAAACTCAGTTAATTGGGGACAACTGAAAACTTCGAACATCTTCAAAGATAATGACATGACAAAATTTTCTGGACAAAAACTACTCAACTTCTCTAAATTTTTAAGCCTTAAAAATTGCAATCTCTGTAGCACAATGTCTTGTAGTGGACGTCCACCCTTGTCCTTTGTCATATTGAAGACCTGCTTTAGTTGAGAACAATCAGTTATCTCAACAGATTCCAAATAAGGAAGTCCTTGAGCCAAAGTGATTGGAAACACATAATTCAATCTTCCGCAATTAATTATCTTGAGAGTTCTCAACTTAGGCCAGCGGAAAGGATAGCCATCCACGTTTGAAACTATTTGATCCTCATTTTCTGCTTCTCCGAAGATTACATGTTCCAAAAAGCCGCAATCTTTTATTTCGAGTTCTTCTAGATGCTCCAAACTTTGAGCAAGGGGAGTCGAAAAGAGATATGCCAGTTTCGCACATTCCCATATTCTCATAGTCTTAAGACTTTGGAGGTTAACAAGATGGGTGGGCCCTTTCCATATCCACTTCAATTCTGGTAATGAGGTTAGCTCCAAAGAAGTTAAATTAGAGAGTGGTCGTACCTGACATGAATTCATTGATTGAAAAGGTAAATAAATATAGAAAAAGCATTACGTACAAAGGCAATAATAGTAGTTATTGAATAATATATTTTTACATAAAGTGTTGGGAAAAACAACAATACCCACGCGCAGCAACCACACACAAAATAACAAGCTCAAATCAAGAATAAGAAAACACAAATATATTTGGTTCAGCCCAACTCAAAATGGCCTACTCCAAATCTAATCCACTATCAAATAAATCTTTACAATTGTGAGACTTTTAGAATGAGAAAAGTCTCCTAAAACTCCTTACTCAAAACTTAACCCAAAACCCAATTACACCCTTTAATAGCCTACTCACTTAGCTATTCTCTTGGTGTCTAACTCTCTGAGGTTACTAAACTAAAACCAAAACATCTTATTTATAGGGGTGAAACCCTTTATACCTTTACTAAACTCCCGATGTGGGATACAAGACAAATTCAAACTTACTTAACTTTCGATGTGGGATTCTGAGATTCAAGGCAAATCCCAACAAATCCTCCCTTGACTTGAATCTCCAAACACTTCAACAGTATCTGCAAAGCTAACATGCTTACCTTTCTTCTTTTCTTTCATCACAGGCATTCCAACAACTGAGCCTCCATCAAACATGTACAAGTGATTGACCCTATTCCCTTGTAGAATCACACTACCATTCTTGTACACTTTCAACCAATCATTACTACCATAATATGTGTACCCTCGAGAAGCTAACTCACCCAAAGCAATCAAATTGTAGTGACAATTTGGTACATACCTTACATGACGAAGTGTCCTAATAACACCATTGTGAGATTTAAGGCGAACACTCCCAATGCCTTGAATCTGCACATTTTCTTTGTTAGCAACCACAATATCCCCATACTTTTCATTCTCATTCAACTCCACAAAGCAGCTCCTATCATTGCAAACATGAACTGTAGCAGCTGAATCTAAAACCCAACCTTTGTCACTTTTCAAAGTCTGGGTCTCATCCACACAAGTTGTCAAAACAACATCATCATCATCAGACAAAATAGCAGCAGTATCACTCTTTTCTTCATCTGATTTTTCTCATCATTCGCCCTTTTGAAAGCAGCCATATCCCTTCTCAGCTTCCTGCAGCGCACTTGGATATGTCCCTTCTTACCACAATAATAACATTCTACATCACTGTAATCTCTGTCTCTTGACTTAGATCTCCATCTTGATCCATCAATCCTCTTTTGAGTCCTCCCTCGATCAAAACCCTCTACAGCTAGTGTACTCCCCCCAGGTGATGAGTTCTGAGCTCCCATAAACCTTTCATTCTCATGCAACAGGGCAGTCACATCATCCAACTTCAAAGTAGACCTACCTACCAACACAGTCTGAACTAAAGGCCTATAAGACTTGGGCAAAGATGACAGCAAAATTAAAGCTTTCTCTTCATCTTTTAACTCATCAACAGAAATCGCTAGCAATTGAGAAACCAATTTATTAAATTCATTCAGGTGATTATGAAGACTCATACCTTCTTCCATCTTCAGAGAATACAGATCCATCTTCAAACATAATCTATTAGTCAATGACTTCGAAGCATAAATACCTTCAAGCTTATCCCACAAACTCTTCGGAGTACTCTCAGTCAACACACTGTACTTTACTTCTGGAGCTAACGCCAATCTAATAGTACTAACAGCCTTCTTCTGAATCCTATTCCAATTAGCATCAGACATTCCTTCAGGCTTACTACTCTCCAATGCCTGATCCAATCCTTGTTGTACTAACAGATCTTGAATCGTACTTTGCCATAACATAAAATTACTCTTTCCATCAAATAACGGAATCTCAAACTTAGACATAGACATACCAGACATACCTTCTTCAGACATCTTCAAACACTGCTTCACGATCTCTTGGACCCACGAACCTCGAACCTCGCTCTGATACCACTTGTTGGGAAAAACAACAATACCCACGCGCAGCAACCACACACAAAATAACAAGCTCAAATCAAGAATAAGAAAACACAAATATATTTGGTTCAGCCCAACTCAAAATGGCCTACTCCAAATCTAATCCACTATCAAATAAATCTTTACAATTGTGAGACTTTTAGAATGAGAAAAGTCTCCTAAAACTCCTTACTCAAAACTTAACCCAAAACCCAATTACACCCTTTAATAGCCTACTCACTTAGCTATTCTCTTGGTGTCTAACTCTCTGAGGTTACTAAACTAAAACCAAAACATCTTATTTATAGGGGTGAAACCCTTTATACCTTTACTAAACTCCCGATGTGGGATACAAGACAAATTCAAACTTACTTAACTTTCGATGTGGGATTCTGAGATTCAAGACAAATCCCAACATAAAGAACAAAAAAAGAGAAAAAAATACAAATATTTTATAAATTGTGTTAATAAAGAGAAAAAAGGTATATAGTGTTAGCCTTCTCAACTTGCAAGCCATGTAATCAGTATAAATTTAATTTATTTACTAATATAATTTAATTAAACTTTATTTCTTTTAAACTTCAACAGAGGTTAATTATATGATCAATATATAAAGTTTAGTAATTTCTAATTATTCATTAAAGGAGAAATGGAGAGAGAACAAGTACCTCAAGCTCACCCATTTCATGGGGAAAATCAATGATTTGCTCTAATCCCTCACAGGCACATATAGAGAGTTCTTGTAGATGCAACAAACTTTGAGCAAGGCAAGGCGGGAAGATCGCTTTCAATTCATCACACCTCCAAATTTTTACAACCTTCAGACTTCGGAGGCTTGCATGATATTGATGGGTTGATTGTGATTTCCATATACTCTCCAATTCCGGTAAAAAAGCTAGATCCAAACTTGTTAAATTTGAGAGTAGCGGTGTCTGACTAATTTCTTCCTTTTCAAGAAGCCCATCCATTTCAAATACCACTTTCAACCGCTTACAATTCTTAATGGTCAAATCTTTTAACTTTTGTAAGGACCTAATATGCCCATCTATTTCAAGAGATGTCAATTTTGGCAAGGGCGGATGATGGAGAAGGCCACTGTCTGATTCTACATTATTATCAATTTCCAACTCAGTGGCAATGTGTTCCAGTTCATCGCAGCATTCTATCGTGAGTTGTTCTAGCATCCCCAAGCTTTGAACAAGTGATGGTGAGAAGAGATGTTTCAAATTGTGATACATGATTCCATCCATGGCAAGTTTTTCGACATTGCATAACAATTCCTTGAAACCATATGATGGGACATCCTGATAAATTCACAATATAATGGAAACTATTAGCAGAATTAGAAACATATAATTGGATTTCTTTTATTAGAAAAAGAAAGATTTGAGTTAAAAGAACAATTTTATCTCTGGCTTTTCATTAAAAATTCATTATCGTAGAAATTTAAACAATCCAAATTAAGTTGAGTATAACTAGAATCTAGAAAGCATGAATAATGACAAATAATATAGTTAAAACATGACATGGACACGACAACACAACAATTATAAAAGGAGGACACAGGTATGGTAAGACGCTACAATAAAATATATTTTTATATATTTTTTATCCATAAATATTTTATACGAATATAAATTGAATGCAATTACAATGTAATTAATGGTGTGTGTAAAAGTAAAATAAAATAAATTTATAAACAAGATTAAAATTATGTAGGAAAATAATCAATATAATTAATTTTATTAATTTAATTTTTAATACAATAGATTATAAAATTATAAACTTTTTAAATAATTTCATTTTCCCTTTTTTTTTCTTTTCTTTTCTTTTTTTTCCTTCTTTTTCTTTCTCTTCCTACATTTTCTTTTTTTTCCTTTTCTTTCTCTTTCTCCTTCCTGTTTCCTTTTTTTATTTTTAATTTTTAATTTTCCCTTTTTACCGTTTGTCAAATTGTACGATTTAAGAGCTTTATAAATTCAATACTACTTGTTATTAAATAATATTTTATTATATAAAGAATAAAAAAAGAGAAAAAAATACAAAGATTTTATAATGTGTGTTAATAAAGAGAAAAAAAGATACAGTATTCGTTTTCTCAACCTGCAAGCCATGTAATAAATATACATTGAATTAAACTTTTTTCTTTTAAACATCAACAGAAGCCAATTATATATAATACTTTTACATGTAGATGTGAATGTACTAAATTTTGACGTTTGTGTTATAAGATAAATAATTCAATTAATTATTACCAAAATAAACAAAATTAAAACAAAAATATAGTATAAGAGAAGTACGTACCTTTAAATGGGCCTGCAACGTCTTAAACTCAGTTAATTGGGGACAATTGCAAACTTCGAACTCCTTCAAAGATAATGACATAATAAAATTTCCTGGACAAAAACTACTCAACTTCTCTAAATTTTTAAGTCTTAAAATTTGCAATCTCTGTAGCACAATGGCTTGTGGTGGAAGTCCACCCTTATCCTTTGTCATATTGAAGACCTCATTTTCTGCTTCTCCGAAGATTACATGTTCCAAAGAGCCGCAATCTTTTATGTCGAGTTCTTCTAAATGCACCAAACTTTGAGCAAGGGGAGTCAGAAAGAGATATGCCAGTTTCGCACAATTCCATACTTTCATAGTCTTAAGACTTTGGAGGTTAACAAGATGGGTGGGCCCTTTCCATATCCACTGTAGTTCTGGTAATGACTTTAGCTCCAAAGAAGTTAAATTAGAGAGTGGTCGTGCCTGACATGAATTCATTGATTGAAAAGGTAAATAAATATAGAAAAAACATTACATACAAAGGCAATAATAGTAGTTATTGAATAATATATAATTTAATAAAGAATAAAAAAAAAGAGAAAAAATACATTGATTTTATAAAGTGTACTAATAAAGAGAACAAAAAAAGATATATAGTGTTAGTTTTCTCAACTTGCAAGTCATGTAATAAATATACATTTAGATTAGTTACTAATATAATTTAATTAAACTTCGTCTCTTCTAATCTTCAATAGAGGTTAATTATATGAGCAATATATAAAGTTTAGCGATTTCTCATTATCCATTATAGGAAAAATGGAGAGAAAACAGATACCTCAAGCTCTCCCACTTCTTGGGGAAAATCAAAGACTTGTTCTAATCTATGGCACCCAGATATTTCAAGTTCCTGTAGATGCACCAAACTTTGAGCAAGGGGAGTCGGAAAGAGATATGCCAATTTCGCACAGTCCCATATTGTCATAGTCTTAAGACTTTGGAGGTTAACAAGATGGGTGGGCCCTTTCCATATCCACTGTAGTTCTGGTAATGACTCTAGCTCCAAAGAAGTTAAATTAGAGAGTGGTCGTGCCTGACATGAATTCATTGATTGAAAAGGTAAATAAATATAGAAAAAACATTACATACAAAGGCAATAATAGTAGTTATTGAATAATATATAATTTAATAAAGAATAAAAAAAAAGAGAAAATACAATGATTTTATAAAGTGTACTAATAAAGAGAAAAAAAAAAGATATATAGTGTTAGTTTTCTCAACTTGCAAGTCATGTAATAAATATACATTTAGATTAGTTACTAATATAATTTAATTAAACTTTATCTCTTCTAATCTTCAATAGAAGTTAATTATATGAGCAATATATAAAGTTTAGCAATTTCTCATTATCCATTAAAGGAAAAATGGAGAGAAAACAGATACCTCAAGCTCTCCCACTTCTTGGGGAAAATCAAAGACTTGTTCTAATCTATCGCACTCAAATATTTCAAGTTCTTGTAGATGCAACAAACTTTGAGCAAGGCAAGGCGGGAAGATCGCTTTCAATTCATCACACCACGAAATGTTTACAACCTTCAGACTTCGGAGGCTTGCATGATATTGATGGGTTGATTGTGATTTCCATATACTCTCCAATTCTGGTAAAGACGATAGATTCAAGCTTGTTAAATTTGAGAGTAGCAGCGTCTGACTAATTTCTTCCTTTTCAAGAAGACCATCCATTTCAAATACCACTTTCAACCTCGTACAATATTCAATGGTCACATCTTTTAACTTTTGTAAGAAGCTAATCGGAGGCGGACCATGGCACAACTCTTTCAAACAAGCCATTTCCATCATTCTTAATTTCACCAAATTAGAGAATGCAGTTGGTCCCTTCTCTCCTGTTGTGTCCACCAAGCATTCCATATCATCGCACTTTTGAAGCCAAAGAGAAGTTAATTCACCTACGCACTTTGGATCTATGTTTGGGACAATATTTTTGTGTCCCATAACATTCTTCAAAGCCAACTTTTCCACACTGCAAAGCAACTTCTCGAATGCACTTAATGAAGATGAGAATTCAGTAATTTCCAAGGTTCTAGAGTTAAGCTCCTGCATAAATCGAAGATCTTCATTTACAGCTATATTGTAGCTTTGTAGTTTAGGGAACACAAGGTTTTCTGGAAAACATTGAGCTGTAGAAACTCTCAGTGACAGCCCAGTCAAACGAGACAATGAATTCAACTCCAGTAAGTTAACATTGTTTTCACATGTCACGTGTAGCTCTCGGAGCGATGTCAACCTGTTTGTTACACACAAATACAAAAAACTATTATCAAACACTTCAAGTGAATCATAAAAATAGAAGTAAACATATATTAATTTTAATTATCTCAGCAAATATAGCATGATTCTTCAGCACCTTTTCTTATAAAAAAACGTTTGAGCATTTTTTTACTGTTTTGTAATTCATGACAATCATGTTATATAGTAGCATTTTTTTTAATGGGAAGGACTACAGCTCTGAATGCTTCATAATAACGGGAGTGAACAAAAGCTACAAAAGCTTAAGGTAGATATGTTTCCCATAGTCTAAAATTAAATTACTTAATAAAGTAAATAAAAGAAAAATAAATAACATAAAAAGAAATACTTAATTTTGTGCAATATGATAAAAAAATAATTGACATCTACTATTACCTTGATAGCAAAGTAGGGGGAAAATTTAACTTTTTGCCTCTAGAGTGAGAAAAATGTAGCGATTTCAATTTACGCAGTGCCACTAATTCTTCAGGTACCTCATAAATATTAGTATCAGAAAAGGCAAGAATCTCAAGGTTTTTCATATTTGCCAATGATGAGATATTCTCCAACTCGCATTCTACAAGGCACAGAGTTCGAAGATTTGTTATCAATTTAAGTACTTCTATTGAGAAAATGACATTTTTGAGATGCAAAACTTGGAGGGCTTTCATTCCTTCAACAAATGCAATTGGATCTTTCACTAAAATCTTTCCTGTAAAAATCAAAATTTTGAGTTTTGGAAATTTTAATTTTTCAGGAAAAATATTTATGTTGCTGTTCCAAAAGGAGATTGCTGTATGAGATCCACAACTTTCTCTTAGAGGCCATTCCATCAACCCCTCTTTTACCATGAATATATTTTTCCCTGTAGATGTAATCCAATGAGCAAAATCACGAACCACGTCATGCATTCTTACATATCTTTCATCATCATCATTTCTCAGTAACAAACCAGAATCTTGGAGTTTTCTTAGTGCTTCACGAATTTCTCTCCGCAAGTCTTCAATTAAGTTAATATTAGAAAATAATCCATAACCAATTGCAAACATAATCAACTCCTCAATCTCAATATCCCAATCTTCTGGAAAAAGGGAACACAGCAAGAAACATGTTCGAATATTATCTCCCTTCAAATAATCATAACTCAGCTTAAGGCAGTTGTAGATGTCTTGAGAAACCTCTTCATTGTCTAAATGTCTTGAGTCCTTGAGTCGCTTATTTGCTGCTTGCCACCCATCTAGATTTGCACCTTTTAAAGCTTTTCCGATTGTTACAATTGCAAGAGGCAAACCCTTGCATTCACTAGCAACCTCCTTGGCTACATCATTCAATCTCGAAGAAACATCTTTTAGACGAGCAGTATCTTTGAACAGAGCCCATGCTTCACATTTGGATAAGATGTTGAGTTTAAATATCTGTTGACAATCCATTCGAACACAGACTTGTGGATCACGTGTAGTCAGAAGAATTTTGCAACCCTCGTGTTCAACACCGAATGGAATACCTATAGTCCGCAATTTAAAATCATCCCAAACATCATCAATAATTATGAGGATCTTGTTCACGCCTAGCAATCTCAGCCGTAACTCTTCTGCTTTTCCTTCTTCCGTGCTTGCTTTAAATTTCAAACCTAATAATTCTGCAAATTTATCTTGAATTTTGTTGATGTTTGGCGTTTGGGACATTGTAGCCATCACAACTTTGTGAAAGAGATTTTGCTCTTTAGCATGCTTCCCAACTTCTTTTGCCAAAGTTGTTTTGCCCACCCCTGGCATTCCATACAATCCAATCATGTTCACACCATCGGTATTTAGAGCCTTGATGATCTCATTGAAAGTAAACTTTGAAGACTCATTAGGCATGAAATCTTTAGAGGGGAAGAATTCTATCCCCTGAAGAGGAGCAAGGTGGCCCACCCTTGGAAAGTTACAACTCTCAAGAAGTTTATTGATAGAAATCGTCTTCTTTGCCACTTTCTTACTTAAGCAGTATCGCCAACCCCAACTTGGACACCAATTGAAACACTTCTTACGTTCTATTTCAGCTTCCAAACTCTGGGTTTCTTTCAGTTCTGTCTCTGCCCTTTGTTGCCAGTCTTGGACATCCTTCTCAATTACCTCATTTTGCCTTCTAGCCTCTTCGACATCATTTTTTACCCGATCACTTTTCAATTCAAGTTCTTTTCTCCTATTCTTGAATTCTTCAACAATTTTCCCAAATCGAAAAAAGTAACCAACATAAGGTGATGCATATTCTGTTGCGAGGTTTCCTACAGCATTGGCAGCACCAGAGGCAGCAAATTCAGCAGCCATTCTTTGATGATCTGAGATTGAAAAACAACTTTAATGATTAGTAAACATATAAACTGTTGGTAAAATCAACACACACATGCAAGACCCACACACAAAATAGCAAGCTCAAAATAAAAATAAAAATAAAAATACGGTTGTAAGGTTTTGTGGGATATACACCTTATAGGAGTATTGAGACTCCACATCTTATGAGTGTGTATGTTTGTTTGTGAGTGGATTAAAGGAAATTCAGAAGGTCCGCATAGATATGATGCATGGATACATATAAATATGTGTTTAATTGTATTGAAAATGTGCAAGTATATGTTTATTTGAGTTTAGAATACTTCATAAAATTAGAGAAGATTGAAAGAATGTATGAGTATTGATTGTTGAGTGATTGATATGTTATGATGTATGTTTTTAATTCTTTACAACTAGTGAATTTTATTTCTTATCCGTGAACGTAGATCGATTGGACCAAATCACGTTAAATTATTATCTTTTTGTGTTTGATTAATTATTTGATTTCGCCTCCGCTGACGTGATTAGATTGAAGCCTTTTGGCCTAACATAAACAGCTAGAGAGACAAAAGCAATTGTGAATGTTTGCAAAGTACCTTAATTACTTTGAGAGCCAATTGTGAAGTAGAAGAGAAAAATTGTTGATGGATCAACTTGGAAATTGAAAATTCTGCAAATGGAAGAAATTATTCAGTGTTCATGCGTATATTAAGAATATATGTTACATGTGTTAAGAGTAAAGGTAGTATATATTTTGATCATTAATCTATCTAATATTTTCTCAATTTTTAAATAAATCCATTTATTTCATTTTTTTTCCTTATAAATGCAGTCTTTTATTTAAATAAGGTAGGGAAACAAACAAGTAAACAACTTTTGAGCATATAAAAAATTATGGAAATAAAAATAATTATTCAAGCATGCCAAATTGGGGATGGACATTCTAAATTAAGCTGAGAATTTTTTACATCATCAACCTTAATAGAAATTAAAAGAAAAAGGAAATAAAGATTAGTAACAATAAGATTATAAGAACATTGAATTATTTTTTTCTTTTTTTGAAGTTAATCGCAAATCAGAATAGATATAGTATGAAATAAAATAAAAAATAGAACTCAAAGAAACCAAAAAATTATACAGCAATACCATTTTTGCTTCTTTTATTGTAGAGAGAAAAACACAAGAAAAAAAAAAAAAGAGACAAATATACCGCGGACATATGAATTTTCAGGATTCAAGATCGAGCTTTTTATTTCTATCCACGCAGTTCTTTTTTTTTTTTTTTTTTTTGAGTTCAAGGAAAACTTAAGTAGAAACCAACCTTATTTGAAATGAACAAAAGAGTTTCCAGTATTTACAAATATTGAGAAGTTGTGCTTGAAATTTTCGTGACTGATTGAAACTACAGAGAAAAGTTTGATCAAAGACTTGTTTAATTTCTTTGGATTCTCTTTTATCACCGTTATTATCATTTTACTTGCTCAAATCCTTAGTGGAAGACAGCTAGACAAGGGCCCAAGCATCTTTTCCTTTTGTTGGGAGTCGGGTGCGCAATGCCTTCAAGTCACACGTTTACTTTTCTTTTTTGTGCTCGGTCAATTTTTTTTTTTTTTCCTTGAAGAAAACTGATCTATTGATGGTAGTGGGACATGGCATCATTGATGCACTTTTGAATTATTTTGTCTTTTCACAATTATTTTTCAACAATCACTTTCTCACCGACTTTGTTTTGTTGGTTTTCATGGATTAAATTCGATGCGTTGAAAGATTTAATGATTCAAAATCTTGTTTATTTCCTCCGTTGATTTATCCTAACGTATGAAAGAAATAGTTTTGCATATCATCATTTGCTGATATACTGGGAAATTCCACAGCTTACACAAATTTATCGAAATTAAAATCTTATAATAAGAATTTTTATTTTTTTAAGGCAATAATTATTTGATAATTGATATTACTTTCATTTAAAAATATTTCTCATATATTAATTTTCACGAAATTTAAAAAAAAAACCTTGATTTTAATTTTGTATAAAATTAAAATTTCGTAATTTTTTATGTTAAAAAAATTAAAAATAATTTAAAATATAAAAAATTAAATAAGAATTTTAGATTTTAAAAAAAGGAATAGGATATATATGTAACATCCCAAAAAAATAACAAAAAATAAAAGGAACGGAATGAGTAGTTATAAATAGATTTTTCGCACAAATGCGTAATTCGTCATTTCAAGTTCTCGACTCTCTAACCATTTACTCTTTTAGCTATACTTTTTATTTTGTCTCAGGAAAGAAGAATAAGTAAAAGAATCGAGAATCGGAGAGAAAAGAGGAACCTCAAGCTCACTTTTGAATTATTGATCCCTTTATTTTTCTCCTTTTTCGATTATTTTTCAGCAATGATTGTCACCTACTCGGTTTTGTTGGTTTTCATGGATTAAATTTATTTTTCAACAATAATTTTCTCACTTACTCAGTTTTGTTGGTTTTCATGGAATTGGATTCTGTATCAAATTATGCCCCATGCAATGCAATTAGATTTAATGACCAAACAAACAAAAGAAAGGGTTAATGATTCTAAATCTCTTGGTTTTTTTTTTTTTTTCCTCCATTGATTCATCCTACCACTTGAAAGAAGTAAATTTTTAGATTATATTAGCTGATATGCTGCGAAGTATCTTAATTACTTTGGGAGCAATATATCGCTCCATGAAAATGAAAATAAAAGAGAACAAATGGTTGATGGATCAATTTGGAAATAAAAATTCTGCAGATGGAAGAAAGTATTCAGTGTTCATGCATATATTAAGAATATATGTTACATGTATTAGAGTAAGGGTATATTTTTATCATTAATCTATCTAATATTCTATCAAATTTTAAATGAATCTATTTATTTCATTTTTTGTCCTTATGAATGCAGTTTTTTTTTTTTAATATGCCAGGGAAACAAATAAGTAAACAACTTTTGAGCATATAAAAAATTATGGAAATAAAAATAATTATTTAAGCATACCTAATTAGGGATGGATCTTCTAAATTAAACTGTGTGGACTTTTTACATCACCAACTCCAGAGATCATTAGGAAAGGAGAATTAAGAACCAACCTAAACAGAAATTAAAAGAAAAAGGTAATAAAGATTAGCAGCAATAAAATTATAAGAAAATTGAATTAGTTTTTTTCCTTTTTCTGGAGTTAAAAGCAAATCAGAATAGGTATAGCATAAAACAAAATAGAAAATAGAAAGAAAAGAAAGCAAAAAAAATTATACAGCAACACTATTTTCTTTCATTGCGGAGAGAAAAACACAGAAAAAAAGATAAATTATACGCAGATTTTTTTTAGTTCAAAGAAAACTGAAGCGGAAACCAACTTTATTTCAAATGAACAAAGAGTTTCAAGTATCTACAATTATTGATAAGTTGTGCTGGAAATCTTTGAGACCGATTGAACCTACAAAGAAAAGTTTGATCAAAACTCGTTTAATTTCTTTTGATTCTCTTTTATCATCATTATTACCATTTTCCTTGTTCAAATCCTCAGTGTATGACAACTAGAAAAGGGCTTATAATAAGATTTTTTATTCTTTTATAAGGTACCAATTATTTGATAATTGATAGTTGTAAATAGATTATTCACACAGATGCAGAATTCCCTATCTCAACTCTCTAACCATTTACGCTTTTAACTATTTGGTCTGATAGGAAAAAAAAAAGTTAAAAAAATGGAGAAATGGAAAGAGAAGAGGTACCTCAAGCTCACCCATTTCTTTGGGAAAATCAAAGACTTGTTCTAATCCATTGCAGTAACAAACAGAAACAATTGTTGATGGATCAACTTGGAAATTGAAAATTCTGTAGATGGTAGAAATTCTTCAGTGTTCATGCGCATATATATTAAGAATATACCATACATGTGTTAGAGTAAAGGCATCGTATATATTTCGATGATTCTATCAAATATTTTCTCAATTTTGGAGAATAAAATAGAAATGGTTTATTGGAGCATACCTCACTTGGTATGGATCATCAAGAGCTATAAGGACTTTTTACTTCACCAACTCCATAGAACTGTGAAGGAAATTCAAGGACCAGCCAATGTATGGATTTCATATATATGTCAATAAAATAATAATAATAATAATATAGATCGAACCAATGAAAAAAAAAAGAAAGAATTGAAACAAAAACGAGTACCTAATTTTTTTTGGTTCAGTTATTGATAGAAGAGCAATGCAGAAGTGAAACAAAGTGTCTGGCACTGTAGCTAGCCCAAAGATGTGGGGATGATATAAGACGATGCTTTGCTTCAACGGAAACTGTTTGACGACTGATGACAAAGTAGTATGATTAAGATAGGTCAGCAACACAGAAGAAAAACCCAACATAAATATAACAAGGAAATATGAATTTTCAAGATCCAAGATGCAGCTTTTATTTCCACCACGCACAACTTATTAAAGACACTGATAAAATTGGTACAAGTTTTTTTTTTTTTTTTGAATTCAAAGAAAATTGAAGAAGAAATCAACTTTACTTCAAATGACTAAAAAAAAAAAAAGACTTCAATTATCCATAGATATTAGGAAGTTCCGCTTGAAATCTGTGTGGCCAATTGTAACGACAGAAACTTTCATCGAAAACTCCTTAATTTCTTTGGATTCTCTTTTATCATTATTACTATTTTCTCCTTTTAAAATTATTTAAATGGTATTGATTTTTATGAAATTAAAAAAATTAATTTAAATATATTTAATATTTAATATTAAAATTTAAAAGTTTTTATAAAATTAAAATTTTATGATTTTTAATCTTTAAAAATAAAATAATTTTAAAATATAAAAATAAAAATTTTAGATAAAAAAATAATTTCCAGATATATAAAAACAAAAAAAAGAAGGACTGAGGGAGTGTTAATTTTTTTTCCCTATTCAAATCCTTAAAGAGGAAGACAGACAGCAAGACTGTGTCCCAAACATCGTTTTCTTTTCTTGGGTCCTGGGAGCCACCACGGCTATAATATTAATGGAGTCTAGTGGTGAACATTTATAGTTGGAGTTCAATTTCAAATTCAATGTTCGAAGTTTAATTTAAATTGGAATGAATTTTAATTTTTAAATATAAATTTAATTTGAGATAAAAATTAAATTAAATTTATTTATTTATTGAATAAAAATAAATTTAATTGTTTAATTTTAAATTCAATTATTTATTTTCAAACAAAATTTGAATTCAAATTAATATATATAAATAAAAAATAATTTTTTAATTAAAATAATAAAAATATATATTAAATTAATATAATAACTCAATTAAACTCACAAATTATTCAAACTAATTATTAAAATAATAAACATCTACTCTCTCAATATATCAAATTATTTGCATTCAAAATCAACTCTATAATAATTTTATGAAATTTGAATTTTGTAGCCTACTAGCCTTTACGCACTTAGGAGCAATATTTTTTAAGTTCACACCTTTAACCATTTGTGTTACTATGAATTTTTTAAGAAATCATACATATCACTATCACGATTGTCAGGTCTTCATAGCTTTTGCTAGTGGGACATGGCATCAGTTATAAACTTCTGAATTATTGATCCCTTTTATTTTTCTCTTTCTTCAATTATTTGTCAGCTATAATTTTCTCACCTACTCAGTTTTGTTGGTTTTCATGGATTGGATTCTGTATCAAATTATGCCCCATGCAATGCAATTATATTTAATGACCAAACAAACAAAAGAAAGGGTTAATGATTATAAATCTCTTTTTTTCTTCCTCCATTGATTCATCCTAACACTTGAAAGAAGTAAATTTTTAGATTACCTTAGCTGATATGCTGCGAAGTATCTTAATAACTTTCGGAGCAACATATAGCTCTATGAAAATGAGAAGTAAAAGAGAACAAATTGTTGATGGATCAACTTGGAAATTAAAAATATTGCAGATGGAAGAAATTATTCAGTGTTCATGCGTATATTAAGAATATATGTTACATGTGTTAGAGTAAGGGCATAGTATATGTTTTTATCATTAATCTATCTAATATTTTATCAAATTTTAAATGAATTTATTTATTTCACTTTTTTCCTTATAAATGCAGTTTTTTTTTTAATATGCCAGGGAAACAAATAAGTAAACAACTTTTGAGCATATAAAAAATTATGGAAATAAAAATAATTATTTAAGCATACCTAATTGGGGATGGATCTTCTAAATTAAACTGTGGACTTTTTACATCACCAGCTCCAGAGATCATTAGGAAACGAGAATTAAGGACCAACCTTAATAGATATTAAAAGAAAAAGGTAATAAAGATTAGCAGCAATAAAATTATAAGAAAATTGAATTAGTTTTTTTCTTTTTGCTGGAGTTAAAAGCAAATCAGAATAGGTATAGCATAAAACAAAATAGAAAGCAAAGAAAGCCATGAAAGCAAAAAAAATTATACAGCAACACTATTTTCTTTCATTGTAGAGACAAAAACACAGAAAACAAGGTAAATATACCTAGGAAACATGAATTATCAGGATCCACGCAGATTTTTTTTTCTTTTGAGTTCAAAGAAAACTTAAGTAGAAACCAACCTTGTTTCAAATGAACAAAGAGCTTCAAGTATCCACAAATATTGAGACGTTGTGCTTGAAATCTTTGTGACTGA